AGTAGAACCAATTCTTCATTGCATTTCCTTTTTCTGCCTTCTGAACTAAGACTCTTGATTGAGTTCGAATGCAGAGGATTACGAAATGCGTGGAGGTGTTTCATTGCCTCTTTTTTGAGTTCGATCAAATAAAGCGCGGCTATGCTGATGAGGTATGTACGAGATTGAAGCCCCGCCTTGCTTACCTGAGTATCCCCGTGAGCATTGAATAGGCTGCAGCGGTTGCCTAGCTGATAGCCAATCATGCATTGTGCCGCATGGAGACCACTATTGATATTCGACGTTACTATAAAGAAGTCTGTTCATCTGCATTACTTATCTCGACCCAAGACCTTGACCTCAGCTTCACTGCGAAAACTGTGCGGGATTAGATCATCTATTAACTGTTTTGAGGCTGCCCCTCCCTATCACTAGTAATCAGGTACGTGTGCCTTTTATCCCAGTTTTTAGGTGACGATCCCCTCCGACCTGGGTGGGACGATAATTGGCCGCGGTGGAGATCGCATCAATAGAATACGTGACGAAAGCGGAGCGCAGATCCAGCTGGAACCCTCGTCTGGCCAAGAAGAGCGCGTCATCACAATCACTGGCACACAGACACAGATTCATGCTGCACAATACCTCCTACAGCAGTGGTCAGTCCAAATAGGCTCACTGTAGATAATTGGGATACGGGATATTTCCATTATTGCAGGAATAAGTTTGCTAATGTAGTAGCAAGTAACGTAGCATATTGCTTGAGTTTTGGTTGGAGACTGGAATTGGGAAATTTTTCGAATTAGTTTTTACAGCAACCGTGGTTTTCGCGATAGATACAAAAAAATCTATTGGCAAAGCGTTCTGCTGCTTGCGAAATAAATGCACTTTGTAACGGTTATCCTTTTCATCAAGGAGCGACCGATGGTCCCAATAATGCTGTTAGTGAGCTTAAATGAGCCCTTTGTAACTTTTCGTCCAACTTTTTTAGGCAGAGGGACTTCACATTCGAGTGGTTTGCTTTTTTTAGATAATTGGTGTTATTGCTGAAAAAGTAATCCTCTGTGACATTTATTTAAGTTTAATGGTAGAGGTGTGTAGCGTTCTGGCCTTATTCCCCATACTGTTTTGAGCTAATAAGGGAATTTTCCAAATTTTGGTGGCTGCTTTTAAATGCGTTTGAAACGTTAGTTCCGAATCTGTCCTCCATAACTGCTTAACTTTTTTGATAGTCATCATTTGTGATAGGTAGCGTGCAAGACTTAACAATTACTGCTACAAGGCTCAAATATTTACGCGTAATCATGCAAATTATTTCTTGTTGAATTTTCACTTTGATTGACAATATCACCTCCCCCCTCCCATTGTGGGGTTAGTTTGATGTCAAAGCTTCACGCAATATTTGGTTTTTGATGCTTTTTCAGCAGATAAAAAAGTTCCAACTTTCCTTCCGCTGAAAAATGTTGGGACTTTTTTGGCAGGAGTGAAGTTCCAAGGCGCATTTATTAGTAGATATCTCATTTTACAGTCTGTTTTGACTTGAACAATTCCCTTAGGCAAAGAGCAAGGCATTCAAACCCTAAAACTGCGAAGAGTAGGCGTTACATTAAGGCAATGCAACAAATTTAGCGCAACATCGTCCGCACTTTGTTTTTGTGTCCTGAATGAAGCTATACACAAGATCCTAATCATTGTAATGGTACACTGTCGTTCACAATATGTATATTGCTAAGCATGAGTAGACTAATAGACAGACTCCGCTCATTATTGCGTCATTATGAGAGCATTTAAGAAAAATATAGCATTGCATATTGGGATAACAGTGTTAGAATATATGATTTTAATTAGGCTTACAAACAATTTTGAATTGGGGGTGGCCTCCGGGGGCATGATTTTGTGCAAGCGTGCCGCGAACAGTCGCGACAGCGGAATCTGGATTTCTGCCAGTTTTCGGTCAGTGGATTATCAGGAAAAAAGCGAAAGGAGGCACACAATAGGGAGAAACCAGTCGTACTCGGTGATGCGAGGTTGCCACAGTTTCGCTTTGGAAAACTTGACAACCTGGTGCTTACCACAGTATTCTTGATTTAAACAGTCACATCACTAGATTCATCACTGTGGGATATAAATGAGAGTTTGTATTTTGCGGCAAGCAGTATGGACAATCAATTGATAACTGGCCAATAATGTTAGTGTAGAGGTAACATATTCTCAGCAGCATGCGCCTTATGTGAAATACGCCTTCACTACCCTTTCAAACCTTGCTCGTATTTTTGAATGTTAGATTATATATATATATTTATTTATTTATTTATTTATTTACTTATATTCATATTTATATAACCTACCATCTTGTGGGGTCGCGGAAGGTCTGCAACTGAGAAGTAAAAATGCAGGATGTCGTGTTTCGAGGCCACGAAATTCCTTTACTTGGGAATTTCAAAACGCTCACTAGGTTGGGTTATGGGAAGCGTTTAGCTATATTCGCATGAGTGTGCATGATGCAGTGTTGCGAGAACTAAAACAGTTTGCAAGTATTGTTTCTACTCTGTCTTTTGCACACACCTTACACCATGACAGTTGAGCCGAATGGAAGACAGGAGATTGTGTCGTTGCATAATTTCCTCGCTGCAATCCCCGTCTATCCGATTGGCTTGGTTAGGGTTTTCTCAAGTTTTCTGTGAAGCACTCTATCTTTCAGCCGTATCTTTAAGTAGGTTACATCTTTCTTCTTTACTTGAATAATTCTATGATTACTAATTAATGGTATGGTAAGTAATCATGTATTTTTCAATGCTTGATCTCTTTGTCACTGTAATGATTCATGGATAGAAGCATAGTAATGTAGAGAGTCCAACTATAATTCAAATTTTCAGCGTCCGCCAGTCAGCCGCAGGCCGCAAGTATATCGAGCAGCAACAAGCTGGTCACCATAGTCACCATCGTTGAAATAGTGAAGCGCTCGCAGAGGCCGAAATTTTGATAATATGTGAATTTTTGTCGTTGTCTGCACTTTACTTTTGTAAAATATCGTTGTAATATTTAATCGATAACGTTTTTAATGTTCCATATAGAATCAATCTAAACCATGTGTTTGTAGTGTTCCTTCAATGGTTGTTCACAGTTTCCTTTCCTCAATCTCTCAATGCGTTAAATTGGTGGTGTGCGGTGTAAGCGTTGTTTCAAATATCCAGCTCCACGATCTCTATCGGCTTTTTGCGAGTTGCGAGCACTGCGCCGCATTTGCGCAAGCGCCCCGCCCCATTAAACCTCATTGTTGCTGATACCGAACTAAGTAGCGTTGTCATTGTGTTCGTGTTCGCAGCCAACTAATTAGTAAGTTCGTTAAGTAATAAATTGTTGTTGTGTTCTATTTAGTGCTGAATCAAGAAAGAAGGAAGAAAAAAGGCCAGAACATTATGAAACAAAATATTTATCTTACTTGGAAAGTGTAGTTAAAATACGTACGTAGTCAAAGGAAGTGACGCTGGTGAAATTATGTAAATTGACCTTAGGAAATGAAATGTAGTTTTGAATTTGCAAAATTTTATGAGGAGATGTAAATTGCTGCGACAACGTCATTCGAGTAATCCAATTCACATCATAATGTCATGCAATATACAGTACACAGAAAGCTTATCAA